GCATCCATAATGTGGTCTGGAGTGTTATTTAGTAATATGAAGTTACAAACTATTTCTACACACCACAATCTGGATTAATGACCAGAGAATTTTGATGAGTAAAAAATGTCACTCTTGAAGGTTACAAACTACATGATTCCATTTATTTTTATAGCATTCTTAAAACAAATTTGTAGAAATAGAGAACAGAGTAGCTGTTCTGTTAAGAATGAGGTGAGGTTGGAGAGGAAGTGGGTATGTTTATAAAGGGCAACATGGATATCCTTGTGGTGATGGAAATTTACCGTATCTTGACCATGTCCATGTCAATAAGCTGAGTTGTGATTATGTAATATAGTTGTGCAAGTTGTAACCACTTGGGAAAAATGAATAAAGATTAAATCTGTCTATATTACTTTCTACAATTGCGGTGAATCTACCACTATCTCAAAATAAATAAGTGTAATTTAAAAGGTATGTACACAAACAGGGTCAAGGTTTCAAGAAAATAGACTGGAAAATTGATTTCAACTAAGGAAGAGAAAAAGCAACAAATAGGAAAAGAAAGCTACACCAGGGAGAAACTCATATGATGGTCAGTCACAGCCCAGACACTGGCTCATAGAAATACTAAGATTTCATTATTATAACTTACTTGTTATGGAATTATGTAATATTTCTCATCCTCACACTTTATAGGGTTTTAGTATAACAATCTTTAGTATAATAAATGAAAGAACTGTAAAACAGACTGTCTGAGGAAGAGTATTTAGGGTAGCCCAAGGTTGAGAAAGGAGGCAAAAAGAAAGACACAGAAGAATTTGAAACTTCTGATGTCCATAGCTGTAGCAAATATTGAGCACAGCCCAATTTCTAGTGTGATTAACATGAAGCCTTATAGTAAACTCATGCCAGTTTCTATTACTCTGTAAAAAATATCTGAATTTTAACAAAAGCCTTACAAAGCATGCCAAAAGTCAAGCAAAAACACAATCCAAGAGACAAATCAGTCATCAGAACCAGACTCACATATGACACAGATGTTGGAATTATTCAGCAGAGAATTTAAAACATGACAATAAAATAATGTAAGAGTTTTAATGTAAAAGTAAACAACATGTAAGAACAGATAGTTAATGAAAGCGGAGAGATAGAAATGTCAAGAATAAAAAAAGAAATGTTAAAAATAAAACACAAAATAAAAATTCTCTTGCTGGTCTCATCATTGAACTCTTCACATATGAAAATAATTCATGTTCTTGAAAAGAAATCAACATAAAATTTCTAAACTGAAATTTAAAGAGAACAATGAAAGAGAATAACAGAATAGAGTAGCATTATGAAAAGTTTCTAAAGGTGTTATGCATGAGCAATAAGAATACAGTAGAAGAAAGAGAAAAGAGAGCACAATAAATAATTGAAGTAATAATGACTGTCGCTCACCCCTGACCAGCAGGAAGGAGGCAACAACAACGTGTTCTTCTCAAAGCGGTTTATTCAGCCTTTACACCATGCCAGCTTCTTCTCCTTTCTTCTTCTAGCTTCTTCTGTTTTTTTTCTCTTCCCGTTGTCCCGTACTTATATCCCTTGGTCTCCACCCACAAGTCCCGTACCAGCGTGTCAGCAGTTCATAGGCTCTGCAGCGTTGCGCTTGCGCGGTGCGCAGTGAAGGAGGGCCCGGCGGTATATCATGCGCCTAATCATGGGACTTGGCAGAGGTCCCGGGCGCCATCTTGGCTCAGGCCGCGCTCTCCACAGCATTCTTCCTGGAGGAAGAGGCAGGTGCCTCCTTTTTCGGCTGTTAGGAGGTCTAGGGCTCTACAGTTTTGGAGGGTTACCTGTGCTAAGCTAGTTATTGTCTTTGTAGTGAC